TTGTTCTTACTTTTCATTTTGAAACAGAGTCTCACAACAGGGCCCAGACTGGCACTGAACTAATTCTATAGCTTAGAAGATCTTGAACTTGCAACTCTCCTGCCTCAGCCTCCCAGTACCTAGGATTACAGGACTGTGCCACTGTATTTATTAGGGAGGATAAGCCCAGAATGTCCCTTTTGAGGAGACTCTCTTCCCGGTCATGGTAAACAGGCTCTTGAGATAGTACTGTTGGTCATAAAGTCAATGTTACTGAAACAACTGTATTCATTAAATAAGGTGTCCTTTGAGAGACCTGCATGCAAGGTTAGCAACAGCTCAGGAAACGATACTTCTGTGACTGGAGACCTCTGGAGCTGGCCTATGTGTACCAGAGAAAAGCATGCCTCAATATTTCTTTTGAAATAGTTTTTTAATATTTTATTACTTTTTATGTGCATTTTGCCTGCATGTATGTAAGCATACCATGTGCGCAATGCCTTCAGGGGCCAGAAAAGGGCATCAGATGCCCTGGAACTGGTATTATGGATGGCTGTTAGCTGCCCTGTGGGTGCTGGGAATCGAACCTGGGTCCTCTGCAAGAGCAATCAGTGCTCTTAACTGCTGAGCCATCTCTCCAGCCTCTCCTTAGTATTTCTGACTCTGTTTGGGGGCTGCCAGGACTTTACAGAACATGGTTTCTAACAAGGAACATATTTCTCCAGGGGGCAGGAGTGATAGAGACTAAGCTTTAACATTGGGGGAGGTATTATCTACCTTCAGGGTGGGTTTTCCCTCTTCAGTTAAACCACCCTAGAAATACCCTCACAAGGTATATTAGTTACTTTTTGTTTCTGTGATAAGACACCTTGACCAAACAGGACTTATGCAAAGTTTATTTTGGCTTATGGTTCTAGAGGGTAAGAGTCCATCATTGAGGGGAGGCATGGCTGCAAGTGGCAGGAGCAGGAAGCTGAGAGATCACATTGTCAGCTACAAACATGAAGGAGGGAGGGAGGGAGGGAGGGAGAGAGAGAGAACTGGAAATGGGGTAAGGTTGTAAACTCTCAAAGTCCACCCCCAGGGTCATACTTCCTCTAGCAAGGCTCCACCTCCTGAAAATTCTATAACCTTCTCAATACTACCAACTTGGTACCAAATGTTCAAATACCTTAGCCTATGGGGGGGCGCATTTCTCATTCAAACCATCACACAGGGGGACTGGGAAGATAGCTGTCAGTGAGGTGCTTGCTACAAAAGCATGAGGACCTGAGTTCAATCCCTGGCACCCATGTAAAAAAAGGCCAGGTGTGACAGCTCATGTCTGTAACCTCAACACTGGGTAGGGAGAGACAGGCAGATCCTTAGGGCTTGCTGTCTCTAGCTAAGATGGCAAGCTCCAGGTACAGTGAGAGAGCCTGTCTCAAAAAAAAAAAGATGGATGGGCTGGAGAGATGGCTCAGCAGTTAAGAATATTGGCTGCTCTTGCAGAGGACCACGGTTTAGTTCCCAGCACCCAAATGGTGGCTAACAATGGTCTGTAACTCCAGTTCCAGGGGATCCAATGCCCTCTTCTGGCCTCTGTGGGTACTGCATGCATATGGTGCACTTACATTCAGGAACAATACTCATACACATAAAATAAATAAAAATAAAACAAGAGGGGCTGGAGAGATGGCTCAGCAGTTAAGAACACTGACTGCTCTTGCAGAGGACCCAGGTTCGATTCCCAGCACCCACATGGCAGCTACAAACTGTCCTTAACTCCAGTTCCAAAGCCAAAGCCCTCTTCTGACCTCTGCGGCATTGCATGACACAGATGCACTCACATACATGTAGGTAATGCAATACATTCATACACATAAAATGAAAATAAAAAAATAAAACAAGGTAGAGAACTGATTTGTATACACACACACACACACACACACACACACACACACACACACACACACATCAGTCCAGAGGTGTCTCCTAGGTGATTCTAAATCCAGTCAAGTTGGTAGATGAAGATGAACCATCCTACTTTCTTCTAATGCTTTCTGTGACTGATTAAAACTATCCATGTTGCCGGGCGTGGAGGCGCACACCTTTAATCCCAGCACTCGGGAGGCAGAGGCAGGTGGATCTCTGTGAATTCAAGGCCAGCCTGGCCTACATAGTGAGTTCCAGGCCAGCGGGGGCTACTGGGAAACCCTGTCTCAAAAAAAAAGACAAAAAAAAACCAAAAAAACTATGCACGTTACCAGTCAGCCAGCTGGAGCCAAGATAGAAATCGTGTGTGGGCATGGAGGTCTTCACAGGCTGGTCTCTGGCAGTGTGCTCTCCACAGCAGGAAGCAGTAGGTGAGTGGAAGTAGCTAGTGGCACCCTCTAGTGTTACAATCCTTGTGCAGCCTTGGGTATTAGGACCCTTTCCCTTCAAGTGTTACAAGTCAATTTAGGTCTGAGGTGGAGATATTTCAGCCCTTGATGGCTGCTCACATTGTACCCTCCCACAATGCAACAAGTCTTACAGCTCTTGTGCAAACCCCGTGGACACTTCTGATTCAAACCACCACAAGATGTGTGAGCACCCCCGGTCTAGGCAGTCCCTCCACCAGGCCACCAGCAGAAGTGCTCCCCCTCTGGTCATGGTGGAAATGGTTGCAGGGACATGGAGAGCTCACCCAGCCTTGTGACATGGAAGTCTGGTAGGAACTGTTTCCAAGAGTCCCAGCTGAGGCTAAGCCTTCAGATTTTTTGTTGTTTTTGTTTGAGACAGGGTCTCCTTGTAGCCCCAGCTGTCCTGGAACTCACTAGGTACTCCAGGCTGGCCTCAAACTCACAGAGATCTGCCTGCCTCTGCCTTCCAAGTCCTGGGATTAAAGGTGTGTGCCACCATGCCCGGCAAACCTTCAGATTATTGTTCTTTCAATGCAGCACCAGCATGAGGGTAATCCTGCTGGTGGTTTTGAGTTTGACTGGCAGTTCTTTTGGTCAAGGCAAGGCAGCAAGAGCAAATCCAACACCTGCCAATTAGGGGACAGCAAGGCCCCATGCTCCAGCATCTTTGCTTATTTTCAGGAACATGGACATCAGAAGGTGTACTGACAATATACATTTAAAGAACCTGGGCTGAGGAGATGGCTCAGTGAGTAAAGAGCTTGCTGAACAAACGTAAAGGCCTGAGTTAGGATCCCCAGAACTCACATAAAGCCAGATTCAGCAGCACACATGTTCAGTCCTAGCACTCCAACAATGAGATGGGAGGCGGACAGGAAAATCCCCCAGAAGCTGTGGGCCAGCTGGTCTTATATGTGCAGCAGGGAACAAGAAACTCCTTCTCAAGATGGAAGGCAGGGGACCAATACCTGAAGCTGTTCACTGACCTCCACATAGATGTCCTGGCATGCATGCACCTGCAGTCACACACATGCACATATACATACACACATCACACACATGCACAAAAGAACTTATGATTAGCATTAAGTGACTTTCACAGTGCCCAGGGCCGTCAGAAGTGAGTCCTGGTGATGTCTGAACATTCCACCAATGCCTTGAGGAAACTGCTTGCTGCAGAGGCACAACTCTAGAACATGCGTATCCTAGTCACAACTGTTTCAGATAGCTCGTGACAAAACCCTTTTATTTTTATTTTTAAATTTTATTGATTCAAAAATGATGTACAAATGTATTTTGATCATATTCAGAACCCCTGCGCCATTTCCATCCTACCTTATCACCATCTTCCCCCCACCCTCACCCGCACTTCATGTCCTCTATTAGCAATTGGAAACCCCATCCATCTTACAAAACACATCCAAACTGGGTGCCTGAGAGATCACATCTCACTAGAATGTCAGTGATCTGTAATTCTTATACACAGATGGGCCAAAGTAAGGGCCCACCCCCTTTCCCTTGTGTGTGGTTTGGGGTCAGAATACAATCAAGTTTCTTGGAGTGGAATTTTCACACTTGTTCTGTTTCTCCTACACACTGCCTAGGGTTGTAAGGGATCTCTCCTCCTCAGCAGTCAGAAATGCTTGGGTTTCTTCCTCAAAGTCAGTTATTTGCAGCCCAAGCCTATGCAAGTTACACTCTGGCTGTTTCAGGACCTCATAAATAAACTCAAAACATTTACATTAGAACATGCTATTTGAGGTAAACTGAACCTGTGTTCCCAGGGCTACAGTCATTCAGGGACAAGGATATAAAATTGACAAGTGCTGCCTGCTACTTAGAGCTGAGGATTAAACGTGGTGTTCTGCTGGCCATCAAAGGCCAGGGCAGTTAAGTCTCTAACCCGAGCATTTAGGGCCATGAGTCTCTGGCCTTGGAGCCTGAAGCCCTAAGTTTCTTAAGTATTTACCTCAAATACCAGGACATGACGTTGCAGGTCTCTGGGTCTGGCACCTCAGCCCATAGAACTTGGGGACTCAAAGGCTTGGGCCGGCAGCACTACAACTCCTTGTCTGTTCCCCAAGTTTATTTCCAAAGGACAGAAGCCAGCGTAGTAATAAGGATAAAGGCATCTGGGGTACCATCTAGCACGCTCCCTACACTGGACCTCACTTCCAAGGGCATGCTTGATCAAGATGACCAGGCACGGGTGTTCGGCCTTCCCCAGCTCTGTAGTCCCGACAGCCTCAGGTACGGGCCATCAAGACTATGCCCATAGCATCCCTGACCCCCAGCATTCCTGAGAAAACCACGGCGCCGGAGAAACCCCGCTGGGGCCGTCTTGACTCAGGCTCCCCAGCACAGGCCCGCTAGCTGCCGAGAAGCAGCCACACCATGACTCAGACTCCGCCAGCGAAGCAGCTAGACTGTTCCAGAAAAAAGGTGGAGGAGGGGGAGGGGCCTGACTGGAGCGCCGCGGGATTGGCCAGATGACGAATGACGCCATCATGGAGCGTCGACCCGGGGGGGCGGGTCACAGCGCGAGGGGATTGGCCAACCAGAAGTGGCCTGTGGGAGAGCGGGAGAGGCGATCTTAGCTGAGATGGGATTGGCTGGTGTGTAAATGGCGTCATCAGGGAGCGCCCGGAACGCCCAGGAAGCAGATCCCCGGGCTGTGGATAAATGGCTGGGGCTGCAGCCGCTGTGATGCTGCGCTTTTTGCGAGGAGCTGAATACTGTGCGGGGCTCGGAGCTGCATTTCCCGCCGCCGTGTCGCCGGGCTGACCACGGAGGACACCGTTCGTCCCTGTCTGACGCCGGTGCCCCGCTGCCCGCCAGAGCCAGGTACTGGTGGGTTGGTGCGGGTCGTGGTCCGAGCTGGCCCGGGCAGTGCGGGGTGGCGCTGAGGGCCGGGGAGTTCTTCCACCAGGGGCTGGCGTCTCAGCACTGTGACGTCTCTCACACCCAGGTCGTCTGTCATGGAAGCTGAGTGTAAGCTAGGAAGGGTAGAGAGGAGGGCGGGGAACAGGTCCGGGCTGCCCGAGGTGCTTAGAATGACGTTTGAGGAAGTGACAATGCAAACTGGAGTCCTCAGAGGCTGACTAGATGTTTTCTGGTGCCATAGCGTTTCAGGTAAGGGATAGCTTGAGACACTTCAGTGGAGGGAATTAGTGGAAGGATGTGGAAAAGACTCTGAGGACTTCAATTCTGGGAGGTGCAAGAGTTTTGAGCCATTTGATGGGTCAGGGAAGAGACTTGGATTTAAGCCTTGCCTCTGGGATGCCAGCCTCTCAGGTTGTCTGCCTGTTAGCTCTAGCTGATTAATAACTGGCCCCTCCTTCCCTGATCAACTCTGGCTCAAATTCATTAAGGAGTAAGTGCAAAGTTAAAGTCAGTGCGTGGAGAGTAAGAAAGAGGCAAGGGACAGAGTACCCTGGGGAGCGTAGTCAGCTAACGTCTTTAACACCTGGTAACAGAATTTTGTTGATGTCAACAATCACATTAAGGAGATGAAATTGCAACTTGAAATCCACTGAAATTGTAATTTTCTGTGGCAATGATGAATTGATAAGAATATGGATTGATATGGGAAACCCTCCCCACCCCCACGGTGTTTTGTTTGTTCGGTTTTGGTGGTGCTTGAACCACCAAAGATTGAACCCAGAACCTCCCACCTGCTTGGCAAGCACTCTGCCATTGATGCTGCCTGCACTTTTGTTTGTATGCATGTGGAAGACATAGGACAACCTTGGGTATCATTTCTCAAAAACCATCCACCTTATATTTTGAGAAGGCTCTGTCACTGGGACCCGGAGCTTACCAGTTTGGTGAAGCTGCCTGAGCAACAAGCCCTAGGCATCCTCCTGTCCCCACCTCCTCAGCACTAGGATTCCAAGCACTAATCACCACATCTGACAGACTCACTAAGTAGACCAGGCTGGCCTCAAATTCACATAGCTCCCCCTGCCTCTGTCTCCTGAGTGCTGGGATTAGAGAGTATGCTTGGCTTTTTTATGAGTTCTGGGGGTTGGACTTAAGTCTTTGTGCTTACAAGGCAAGCACTTTACTGGTTTTTACTGATTGAGCTGTCTCCCCAGGCCTCTTTCTACTCTCTCTTACTCTCTTCTTTTTTTTTTAATCTTTTTGAGACAGGGTCTTCCTGTAGTCCCAGCTGCCTGGAGCTCTGTAGACCAGGCTGGCCTTGAGCTCACAGAGATCCACCTGCCTCTGCCTCCCAAGGTGCTGGGATTAAAGGCATGCGCCACCACGCCCAGCCCCTACTCTATTTTTTTAAATTTTGAAACAAGTTGTGATAGTTAGCTTTAATTATCAATTTGATACAACCTAGAATCATCTGGGAAGAGTCTCAGTGAAGGAGTGTCTGCATTGGGTTGGTTTGTAGGCATGTCTGTGGGGGGTGGTGTCTTAGTTGATGTGGGCAAACCCAGCCCACAGGGTCCTGAACCATATAAGAGTAGAGAAATCAGCAGAGGTAATGGTGCACACTTTTAATCCTAGAACTCAGGAGGCAAAGACAGGTAGATCTCTGAGTTCAAGACCAGCCTGGGCTACATGAGACCCTAAGAAGAGTGGCGAAATGGAACTAAGTGCAAATGAGCTTGTGTGCATTCTTTTCTCTCTGCTCTTGACTGTGGATGTCATATGACCAGCTGTTTAATGTTCTTACCCAAAATGCTGGGTGATAGTCTGGAATTGTGAGCTAAATGAATCCTTTCTTCTCTGAGTTGTTGTTCGTCAGGGTATTTCATCACAGCCACAGAAAGGAAGCTAATACACAGGGTCTTCCTAAGTTGCCCTGAGCTTGTGATCCTCCTGCCTCCGGCTACAGAGTAGCTGGAATGACAGGTCTATGCCACTAGGGCAGGCTTGGAAATCCTCTTTCAAGATGCATTGAAATGAGGTTGTCATGGAAACTGGCGGTCAGTGTAGGCTTCATAAACTAGGTATTAAAGGAGTAGATGGCAAGCCTATATGTGGGTTTGGTTCTTAGGCTGAGGTATTTCTTTGCTGAAATCACAAGGATTTGTGAGCCTTCAGTCTTTTGAAAGGCTCTGGGATGCCAGGTGTCCTGTGCAGAAGGATTCTCTGGGCACTCATTAGCCACAGGTTACAAGTCCTGGTGACCTTTGAAAGGCTCTGGGATGCCAGGTGTCCTGTGCTCCCCGCAGAAGGATTCTCTGGGCACTCATTAGCCACAGGTTACAAGTCCTGGTGACTAATTGGGAGCTCTTTTCTTGCTCTTCCCTCTTACTTTCACAGGTAATCCTTGACTGCCACCTGTGCTTGGGACGAGGTTTTTTCATAATGGAATTTCCAGATTTGGGGAAGCACTGTTCAGAACAGACTTGCAAGCAATTAGGTAAGTAACTTCACAAGACTCTTAACTAGAAAATGCTGTCTTGTTGGCTGTTTTTTGAGTGACCTCTAACCATTACATTGACTAGCTGATTGGCCTGTCCTGGCCCATCTGGCTTCTTTCTCAGTGTGAGGACCCTGGTGTTGTGGGACACAGAGTCTGCTCAGTATTGCAATTTAGCATCCACCGAAGGCCGGGCAACGCAGCTAGCCACTAGGGCTGCATAGATAAAAAGTGGGACTTGGATAATGGTGATGCCACCAAGATTGGAATCTGTTGGGAAAAATAGCTGTGTGGGTCCTTTAGTGCCACTAACCTCAGATATGACTCAGTGGGTAGAGCACTTGCCCAGTGTGCACAAAGCCTTAGGTTCTGTTCCCCAGCACCACATAAAACTGGATATAGTGGCATACCAGAGAAGTGGTGGCAGGAGGATCAGAAATTCAAGGTCATCCTAGGCTACATAGTGAATTTGAAGCCAACCTGGGCTACATGAGACCCTGTTTCAAATTGTTTTAGCTCCTAACCTCAAAGTTTTCTCCCATTGATAACAAGGCTATATTTACCTCCCATAGGAATGAATGTCCCTAGCGTAGAGAAATGCCGCCTTCTTCTAGTTTGTAAGCCCTTGGTTTTGATTCTTCAGATGCATTACTGTTCTATTCTGTTTTTTGTCTTGTAGATTTTCTGCCAATAACATGTGACGCCTGTAAGCAAGATTTCTGTAAAGACCATTTTTCCTATGCGGCCCATAAGTGTCCTTTTGCATTCAAGAAGGTAACTTGCCATCTTGGGGTCCAGTCTACACCAACCAGAGCTGCTCCATCTAGGTGTTCAGAAAATGAGCCACAGTGACCACACTTTCAGTTTTGAGTGAGTGGGTTTATTAAGTATATAGCAGGCCACAGTAGAAGAATAAGGGGAGATGGACAAAGACTGACTGATGGGAAAATAAAACAGCACCATATCAGACACACAGCATCCAGCAGAAACTGACTGGGGAAGTCCCTTTAAGGCAGCCAGCTGGAATTCCCCATCCAGAGTTGGAGGAAGAGGGGTCAGGGACAGAGCAGCCCCTCAGGTGAGGCTTCCAGGTCAAAGAACAAATAGCAAGAGATAGAGGTAACATCATCAAGTTTTGCACTCACACCATTCATCAGAAACCAACTAGGGAGGCTGAGGCAGCCAGCTAGAGTTCATTGAGCTTTCTGTGACTGAACTTCCAGCTTCTCTTTCGTACTGCAGACACTTTTCTGTGGTGGTATAAACAGTAGTAACATCTGTTGGGAATGGTTCACCTTCTAGCTGTTCTCTGGGATGCAGGATGTGAGGTGGTTGTTCTTGGGCTGTTCTCTTCCCTCCCTGTCAGTGTTGGGGCAGTCCATCTCCAGACAAGCGGTCTTGGCGCACATTGTGAGATGAATATGTATGCTTGGGTCTGAACTGGGGCAGTGGGTGGAGAGGGGTTGTGCAGTCCTGCTTCCAGAGCTGACGTCTCAGTGAGTTCAACCAGCACTTGACAGTTTGCCAATGTAGTGTATGTCAGTACAGCAAACACCAGCCACAGCAGCTACTTAGCACATAAGAATTCAGAGTTTTAAATCCAGGGCCTGAGCCAGGTGTGGTGGCACATGCCTATAATCACAGCACTTGGGAGGCAGAGGCAGGCAGATCTCTGAGTTCAAGGCCAGCCTGGTCTACATAGCGAGTTCCAGGCCAGCTGGGGCTACAGGAAGATCTGTCTCAAAAAGACCAAAAACAGAAAAAACAAAGCTAGGGCCTAGAGACATAGCTCTGTGATAAGAGGCCTTGGCCTTCCCAGGATATGCAAAGCCCGGGTTTGATCTTCAGTACAACAAAAGAAGAGAAAAAAATGTCTCCTGGCCAGGGCGGCCCTACGCTTTGTTTGAAACAAGCTCTGTAGGCCAGTTTGGTTTTGAACTCTCCACATAGCCAAAAATGACTACAGATACAAACTGTTTCCACCATCCCAAGACAGCACAGCTCTAAAGCTACCGAGATTTTATTTTCAGACTTAGTGTGAACCACAGTATCATGAATCAGGTTAAAATCAACACAAATGCAGTTCTTCTCTGGGGACAGAATGGATTTGCAGTTCAAGGGGCGTGTGGTTCAGTTAGAAACCAGACAGGTATTCTATCAGGATGTTTGAACTGAGGTGGTGTGGTTCAGTTAGAAACCAGACAGGTATTCTAGCAGGGTGTTTGAACTGAGGTGGTGTGGTTCAGTTAGAAACCAGACAGGTATTCTAGCAGGGTGTTTGAACTGAAGTGGTGTGGTTCATACATGCATGTTGTAGCTGCATGCACCTCTGTGTGTGTCTGTTCATGTGGAGGCCTGAGGACACCTCCAGTGTGTTCCTCAGGAGCCATCTACCTTGTTTTGGGGGGCAGTCTTTATTAGCCTAGAGTCACCAAGTAGGCCAGGCTGGCTGGGCAGTGAGCCCCAGAGGTCCTCCTCCTGTTTCCACCTCTCCAGCACTGGGGTTACTGGGGTCCATCCAACCTGGGCTTTTGTGTGGGTGCTGGGGATGGAACTCTGGTCCTGGTGCTTTTGTGGCCTTTTGTTTACTGCTTAACAGTCCAACCCTCAAGCCACACCTCTGGTCTGTAGTTCTGCCTAAGCCTCCAGAGTTTGCTCAGCACCTGTCTCACAGATCCCCCGACCAGGATCATGCACAGCAGGCATCAGTTTCTCCTTCAGGTCACTGCAGCAGCTAGGCCATTTCACAGTGTCCAGCAGGAACTGGGAGGTGCCCCTTAGAACCCAGCTCCCACAGGTCCACGGGCCTTAGGCTGCTGTGGACTTCTCAGGTCCCTCTGGCCACACTCATTTGTATTGGGCAAACTCATAGGTTATGTCATTGAGCTCTGCCACTTTACCCTGCTGCCACCTGGGTCATGGGTGACCTTAGTGTCACCTGCCTTGACCAGGGCTGGCCTCCAGCTGGCCCTCCATCTTCTCCAGGTTATTGAGGTGGGTGGGGCTAGTGGCTCATGATCCCTGTGTTTACCAGGCACTAGTGACTAAGTCGCTATCATTTGTGTGTCATCTGGACCTTTCCCTATCCCCATATGGGGGTGGAGTCTGACCAGAGGTCACATGAGACAGCTTTCTCAGTGGGCACACTTTACCAAGATAGCTTCTCCTTCAGACAGATCATGTGGGCCTGTGATGCCAGCTGCCCCATCCTCTCTGTCATGGCCCCTTCCTCAGCTGTCCTAGCTTAGTGTTTGACCATCCTGGTCATTCACTGCTTGGGCCCCTTCATTCCAGAGCCTCTGTGGTCTCCAACTGGCAGTCAGCAGTGGGTGAGGCCTTGGTGTATGCTCTACTCACTGCTGAGGGCCTCTTCTTGCCTGTAAAACCACCAAGAATCAGAAGCAGCTGCACAGAGTAACCTGTGGGACCCTTCCAGTCACTGTCTGCCTGTCACCTCTGTTCTGAGGAATCCTTCACAGCCATATTGTCCCAAAACCCTGTGAATCTTGGCAGCTTCCTTCCCTCATCCATCAGGTTCACTGAGGGTCCTTTAAAGCTGGTGATGGCACTTTGTGTTGATATCCCATCAGATTCCCTTGGGTGGCCTTTGAGCAGGCTGCAAACACCTGTCACCCCATGTCCCCACTGCAGCATGGACTCCCTCATGTTTAAGGGCACCTGTTCACCCTTCTGTGAGTTTGAGCATCTTGCATCCTAATGTCATCCTGCATTCATTTCAGAATGTGCAGGTGCCTATATGTCCACTCTGCAGCATCCCTGTCCCTGTGAAGAGGGGTGAGAACCCAGATGTGGTGGTCGGAGAGCACATGGACAGAGACTGCACCTCCCACCCTGGCAGGAAGAAAGAGAAGGTGAGAGCTGGTCTTGAGACCCCGGAGAGCTGCTGGTGGAAGGGGTCAGTTTCCCTCTGTCCCTTCCTCCCTCCTTCCCACAGGCTCTCAGTACCTAAGCTGGTCTTGAACTTGATATGTGGTTGAGAATGGCCTTGATCCCCTGGTCTTCCTGCCTCTACCTCCTTAGTGCTGGGATTACAACCTGGCTCTTCTTATTCTTTGCTCTTCTAGGTTTTTCCTTTACGGAAACTCATTTTCTGTCATTTTGATGGTGTTTTAGGAAGGATGGAACCCTCGCATGTGTAGATGTCCTCCAGCAGGCGACACATCCCAGAGCTTGGTCCAAACTCCACCCTACACTGGGAGGTTCATGCAGGTTGTTTTTCTCGGCCTAGCTGCCCAGCCATTCTCCAGAACTTCTGGTTTCTAAAGAAGTTTCTCTGTACCCGGGCATGGTGGCGCATGCCTTTAATACCAGCACTTGGGAAGCAAAGGCAGGCAGATCTGTGCGTTCAAGGCCAGCCTGGTCTACAAAGCGAGTTCCAGGCAAGCCTGGGGTACAGGGAGACCCTGTCTCAAAAAGAATTAAAAAAAAAAAATTTCTCTGCATGCTCGAATGCTTTCTCTCTCCCTCTCCCTCCCTCCCTCCCTCTCCCCCTCTCCCTCCCTCTGCTCAAACTTGATATGGTGGTTTCCACTTCTCACAGCTAAACCCTGACTGGGACTCCAGGCCTGACATTATTTTCTCAGTTCCCCCTCTCTCTCTCTCCCCCCTACCCCTCTCTCTCTCCTCTCCATGCTCCAGTGCTTAACACACACACACATACAGGCCAGCAAGATGGTTCACCATGTAAAGTCATCTGGCATCGAAAGATGCAAGCTAGACAACCTGAGTTTGATCTTCAGAACCCAGATAGAGGTAAAAGGAGAGACCCAACTCCACAAAGTTGTCTTCTGACCACATATGTGCTGTGGCATGCTCACACACAGATACATGGTAGTTTTTTGAAAAAGATCTCTTCTAAGAATTGGACTCTTGTCATGCTTAAATCAGTTTGTAGCTGTGGACCCTAGTTTATAGTTATCACCTGCCCTGTATGGGTATAGGGGTAAATGTCATGTGTTGGGGTGGGGGGTGTCTGTGGAGGCCACAGGTCGACATTGGATGTGGTTTTCACTCTCCACCCTGTTGTCTTTATCTGTTCAGTCTTCCAGGGCCACCTCCAGACACCTTCCCTGTGCCCAGCTTTGCTGTCTGCTCAGTGTTTGCCCCTCATCTTCTTTTCTTCGTGTGTGTCGGGGGGGGGGCTGAGGAGGATGTCAGGTGTCCTGCTCTGTCTGCCTTATTTCCTTAAGACAGGGTCTCTCACTGAACCTAGAGCCAGACTAGGAGCCAGCGGCCCCAGCCATCCAGCCTCCATCCACACAGTCCTGGGAGCACAGCCTTTCACACAGGTGCCGGGGATTGAAATACAGCACTCACACTTGCACAGGAAGCATTCTTATCCACTGAGCTGCCTCTCCCCAGCACCTGGAGTTTTTGTCTTTTTTTTTTTTTTTTTTTTTTTTCTTTTTTTTTTGGGGGGGTGGGAATAAAAAGCTGTGAATTGTTCAACCTACTTTGTAACCAAAGAAGCAAAGCTGTGTAATGGAGTTTTGTTTTGTCTTTTTGAGACAGTCTCCCTGTAGCCCCAGCTGGCCTGGAACTCACTATGTAGACCAGGCTGGCCTTGAACTCTGCCTCCTGAGTGCTAGGATTAAAGATGTGCACCACCACACCCAGCTCAGACACCCAATTTTAACATGTAGCCCTGGCTGGTCTGGAATTCTCTATGTAGACCAGGCTGGTCTTGAACTCAGAGAGATTCATCTGCCTCCACCTCGTGAGTACTAGAATTAAAGGCATGTGCCATCATGCCTGGCTCCCAACCCTCTTTACTTTTTATTTTGTGACAGGGTCTCACTAAGTTTCACAAGCTGCCCTTGAACTCAGTCTGTAGCCCAGGCAGGCCTTGAACTTGCATTCCCAAGTAGGGATGGCAGGCCTGAGGCCCAGGCCCAGGGTCTGTTTGTGGTGTGAACATGAGCACTCCTGTGAGGGCTGGTTCCACATTGCTGATGGAAGTGACTTTGTTCTTGCAGGTTTTCACACACCGCTGCTCCAAAGAGGGATGCAGGAAGAAGGAGATGCTGCAGCTGGCTTGTGTGCAGTGCCGTGGCAACTTCTGCATCCAGCACAGGCATCCACTGGACCATAGCTGCCAACCTGGGAGCAGCTCAGCCAGCAGAGCGGGGTGAGCACAGGCTCTGGATGCTACCAAGCTGGTGTTCAGCCACACAGAACCAGCTTGAACTCTGGGGTGCTGTGACTTTGAACGTTGTTCCTTACTGTGTTGTTGATCTTAAGTACCTGCTCTACAGCAGGTAGAATCTAATAAACCCAGCTCTTGAGTCAGAGCTAGAGTCACACTGGTGTCCGTATCTGTGTGCACTGGGGGCTTCCCCATCAGTTATTGTTGGCATTTGCTCATTCTGAGGCTCCACCTCTCTCACCTTCCTGATGCCGGGTCTCTGGAGAACCTGACCTTGCAGGAGCATAGTTCCTATCTCTTCCTTTGTGGCGTTCCCAAGTGAGTCTGTTCTACCTCCTCCTTTCTGTTAGCACACAGTCGATCATATGGCCACTGTCTTGACTGATGGCCATGATGACCAATGCTGAACTGGACCACCTCAGTGAAGACCTTGTCTCTAAATAAGGTCCATCCTCAGGGATGGCGGTTGGCTTAGGATATCAGCATGTCCTTTTTGGGAACATAGTTCAACCCTTAATACTACTCCCTTAAACTGGTACTCCTGACTCAAATAAAATCGTAAACTTTCTCTCTCTCTCTCTCTCTCTCTGTGTGTGTGTGTGTGTGTGTGTGTGTGTGTAAGGGGGGTGGGGGGGTGCACATTCGTATACGTGACTGCAGGCCTGCACAGAGAGGTCAAAGGACAACCTTGGGTGCTGGTCCTTGTTCTGCCTTGTTTGATACAGGTTTCTCATTTGCTTTGGTATTTGCTAGGCTAGCTGGCCAGGGTTTCCAGAGAGTCTCCTGTCTCTGCCTTCAGTTTCCCCACCGGATCCCCCATTCATGTGCTCACGGCACCTGTCTGGCTTTTACATGGATGCCAAGGATGGGTTCTCATGCTTGTGCACCAAGTGCTTCCCCTGAGCTGGCTCCCAGCCCCAAAAGTTTTTATTTTTTTAAAAAAATATTTTATTTTTATTTTACGTGTGTGAGTGTATTGCCTGCATGTATGCGAGTGCATCCATGTCATGCAGTGCCACGGAGGTCAGAAGAGGGCTTCAGATTCCCCTGGGACTGGAGTTAAGGACAGTTTGTAGCTGCCGTGTGGGTGTTAGGAATCAAACCCGGGTCCTCTGCAAGAGCAGTCAGTGCTTTTAACCGGTGAGCCATCTCTCCAGCCCAAAAAGTTACTTATTTTTTAATTCTGTAAATACTTATTTTGTGTGTGTACGTGTGCGTATATGGCGGGACAGAGGTGGATGTGCTAAAGTGCATGTGAAGGTCAGAACAGCTTACTGGAATCAATTTCCTTTACCTTGTGAATCTGGGGATCAGACTCTGGTCAGGCTTGATGGCAAGTGCCATTATCCACTGAGCCATCTTGTTGGCCCCATAAGTTACTTTTTAATTGCATTTGATTTTTTTTCTATGCTGTCTACTTGTCTGTAGTGCCCAACTGCCTAACTGCATAGGACCAGTCGGGCTTTCTTGGTACAAGCATTGAATAAACATGCATCTAACCTTTCTCTGTAGGACTTCAGCAACCAGGGCTCCTGAACCGAAGCCGTTGGGAGCTTTAAACGCCTTGTCCTCCAGTTGGCTGGCCAAGCAACTCAGGTCCTATTCCAAAATGCATGTGAGACTTTAGCTTTGTGTCTGGTAGGTGCATTGCAGTTACAGTCAAACGTGTGATGTGGCATGCTCACACAGGAGTGGCTAGACCAGACACCCAAGTTAGAGTCCGCATCAGCTTGAATCACAAGCAGGCCCAGCCAAACTACCTGCTTTTAGAAGGCCCTACTGCATGACGGACCCCTGCTAGGCAGTTGAGACATGGTCATCTCACTGGTTCCTTCTCTTTTCTAGGTGGAAGGTGAAGCGATGGTGAGATTCTGGTCTGCCTCCACTCTGCCCCACACACCAGCTCGTTTCTGCACTGTTTTCATCTTGCTGGCAGGCCTCCAGTGCTGCCCTGCATCTCTACTGCCAACAGAGTGAATATGAAAACTTCCTGTGAATATACAAGTTAGGAGTCAGGAGATGGCTCAGTGGGTAAAGTGCTTGTCTCACAAACAAGGACTTTAGTTCCTCCCCAGAACCCATGTTAAAAAGAGCTAGGCATGGTGGAACACACTTGTCATCCCAGCAGAGGGATGGAGGATCCTGAGGCTCACTGTCAGTCAACCTAGCCTAATTGGAGAGAGGCCAGAGAGAGACCCTGTTTCAAAAACCAAGGTGTACGGCTCCTGAGGAACACTAAGGTTTGCCTCTGGCCTCCCCACACACATGCACGCGCACACAGAAAGAATGCACAAAATAAATGATGAGAGCAATTCAGCCAAACTCAGGTGGATTAGAATGCCAGCCATCTTAGACAAAGCTGTCCGGTGTACCACATGTGCCTTAAAACCACGAAAGCAGGCATAGGGCTTCCTTCAGTACTGTCCTGAGTATTGGTATAGAGTTCTGGCAGCCTGTTGAGACTGTTAACTCTGCCCAGGTGACATATCCTAGTCATGCATTTCAGGTTGTGGCCTTTAGATATAATGGGGGGGATTCCCATTCAGTCTCCCTCACAGAGACATGACTAGGACCACTTGCCTAGAGCTGATGGTTCTCCAGGGTAGGGGCAGCATATCAGTACAGTGCTACCCTCCACCCCAGCTTCTGACTAGGTGTGGGGGCACTTGGGATTTGCACTTAGAACAAGATCCAGACCATGCTGCTATCTGGGGACACACTGAGATAAACCACTTTCCTGTGCCTCTGCTGCCCAGGGTGACAGCCAGTAGCCACAGTGAGGCACACTAGAGATGTACCCAACACAACTAAGCTTTTAATTATACTTCAGTTTAAAAATAGCTGAGTTCAATTATTAGGAAAAGTTATATTAGGGACTTGGATATGCTAATCTATTTTTTAACCTTTCGTTTTATGAAAAGATGTTTCTTAAAGATGTTTAAGCGGAGATGACTCCAAATCTGGACTCAAAAATCACATTTAGAAAGGGGGTGCATGACTCAGTGGTAATGCACTTGCCTAGAGTCCCACTGTAAGGGGCTGGGTGTGTGGATCAGCGTTAGAGCACCTGCCTAGCATGTGCCCAGCCCTATTCCATCCCCAGTACTTGAAGAAAGCAAAACAAAAATCACACTGGGCTTTGAAGACAATACCAAATGTAGATAACTATTTAAAACCTGGTTTACATGTTGAAATACTATATAATGGTTAAATAAAGTTATTCACCTGTTTGTCCTAAATGTGGCTACCTAAAATTTCAGAGCGGTGGCATGTGTGCCATTGCTGCTGTGTAGCGCTATTCTGGCAAATCTGAAGTGAACAAACCATTTTGGCAGGTGGAGCCTCCCTGGTCAGAAGTCTCTTTTAATGTGTATGAGTGTATTGCCTGCTTGTCTGTAAATGCGTCCGTGTTATGCAATGCCTGTGGAGGTCAGAAGAAGGTATTGAATTTCCCTGGAACTGGAATTATGGAGAGTTGTTAGCTGCCAGGTGGGTGCTGGGAATTAAACCCAAGTCCTCTGTAAGAGCAGCCAGTGCTCTTAACTGCTGAGCCAGCTCTCCAGCCCCTCTGATCAGAAATTTTTTAAATGCCCCCAAAACTTGATACCCTAATGAAAACATAACAGGTCACAAACAGCTGCCCTAAAATCTTGTATAAAATTACTTTCAGGGGCGGGGGCAATGGCACAGGATAGAGTGCTTGCCACACAAGCATGAGGACCTAAAGTCAGATCTCCAGTGCCCATGCAAAATGCCAAGAGCATCTGTAATCCCAGCACTGAGACCTGGAGACAGGACCTGGGGTTCACTGGCCAGCTAGTCTGACCCAATCAAGGAGCTCCATGGTCAAAAAGAGGCCTTGTTGTAGTTTTGTGATTATGTGGTTAAAACACTTTGATAAAAGCAACTTGGGGGGAGAGGGTTAATTCTGGCTCACAGCTCCAGAGTGCAGTTCATCGAGGGAAGTCAAGGCCACAGGAGCATGAGGCAGCTGCTCACATCTCATCCAGTCAGGAAAATGAATGATATTGCTCAGCTCCATTTTTGTACAGACCAGGATCCCGACCAGTGAATGGTGCCACCCACAGTGAGTGGGTCTTCCTACTTATAAGAGAGTTCCTCACAGGCATGCCCAGAGGCCCATCTCAGTGGCTATAGATTGTGTCAAATTGACAACACTAACCATCACATTTCTGAAAAGAAGATGGAGAGCAATCGAGAAAGACACTGACCTCTGGCCTCCACGTGTACACATACCCGTATACCTACTCAAATCATACACCACACAGGAAAATTACCTTCAGGCTGGGATGTAGCTCAGTTGGAGAGCACTTGCCCAGCATGTGCAAGGCCCTGGGATCCATCCCCAGCACTGCTCTAACAATCACTTTGAGGCCATCTAACAAGGTGTGTAGGAAACAAATACATTTCCTGTTTCAACTTGTGTCTCTTCCCCAACATACCTATTATATATATGCAAGTGTTCCAAAATCTAAAAAATTCAATCTATAACAGTTCTGGTCCCAGACATTCTGGGTTCAGGCTGCTTGGACTGTACCCAGGCTATCATGAGGCTTTGAGCTACTTTTATTTTTCCATCTTCAGATTCAGTTTTGACATTCCAATGCAACAGTTGGTGTCTGCTGAGCCTCTCCTATTGGCACTCAGTATTTCTCCTTAGGTACTGTGTTAGCAGACAGCCATACAACTCCAGGGGCCTGAGTTAGGTCTAAGTCTCCCATTCATCAATCATGCTTCCTGGAATTCTTTTTTTTAAATTTTTATGTGTATGTGTGTTTTGCATGCATGTCTGTAAATGCACCCATGTTTGCAGTGCCCATGGAGGTCAGAAGAGGGCATCAGATCCCCTGAAAATGGAGTTACAGGTGGTTGTGAGTTACCAAACATGGGTACTGAGATCTGAACTCAGGTCATCTGCAAGAGCAGCAAGCTCTCTTAACAGCTGCGCCATCTCTCCAGCCCTCAAACTGAGTCTTAATGCCTTAAAAAAACAAGTCTCCCTGTGTAGCCCAGACTGGCCTTGAACTCAAGATCCTTTTGCTGCAGTCTCCCAAGTGCTGGGATTATAGGCACATGGCACCACACCTAAAAAATTAGCACATCTTTATATTTTATATATTAAATTATTTGTGTGTTGGTGCCTTGAGGCAGGGTCCCATCCCAGGCTACCCAGGAATTCACTAGGCAGCCCAGGCTGGCCTTGAGCTTACAGCAGTACCCCTGCCTCAGCCTGCTATCTCTGGGTTTTTTCTTTTGGGACAGGGTCTCATGTAGCCAAACCTGGCATTGAACTTAGTATGTAGCCAAGGATAACCTTGAACTCCTGATCCTCCTGCCTCTACCTCCAAAGTGCTGAGATTATAAGTGTGTGTCACCACACCCCGTTGTCACATCTTTGATGAAGTTGAACATATTACAGCGGTTGATGGTTGGAAGAATTCCAGCTGAGGGAGTTGGCTGGTGTGTGCACTTAGCTACTCACAGTGGGGTATGTGCCCAGATGCTAGCATGCTGAGGGGTAGAGGAAGCCCAAGTACATTTCAAATACAAGAAGCTGGGCGTGGTAGTACACACCTTTAGTGGGAGCACTCCGGAGGCAGAGGCAGGCAGATCTCTGTGAGTTCAAGGCCAGCCGGGTCTACGCAGTTTCAAGCCAGCTAAGGCTACAGGGAGACCTTGTCTCAAAATAAAAAAGACCAAGTGGCAGGGGGGAGAGAAAATGTCTGTATTAGGAAATGTGGAGAATTCTTTTCAGGGTCTGTATAGTGTGTGTGCATGTGTATGTGGTGTACAAGAGTGTTTGCATGTTTGCATGTGTATGTGTATGCATGCATGTGGAAACCAAGGATGACCTTGGGTGTCTGTCTTTAGTTTGTCTCTTCATTGCTGTGACAAAACATTCTGACCACTACCAACTTGGGGAGGAAAGGGTTTATTTATCTTACATCTACCGGGTCACAGTTCATCAAGGAGCCCAAGGTAGGAACTCAGGGCAGGAACCTGGAGGCAGGAGCTGGAGCACAGGCCATGGAGGAACACTGCTTACTGGCTTGCTCCCCTGGCACCATCTCAACATGCTTTCTTATTTCAAACCAACCCACCTGCACAGTAGTGGCACCACCCACAATGCACTGGGCCCTCCCACATCACACAACAATCAAGATGCCTCATAGACATGGCCACAGGCCAGTCCAATAGAGGCAATTCCCCAATTGAGGCTCCCTCAACCCAGGTGTGTCAAGTTGACACTAAAGCTATCCAGCATAGTATCTTTCTCATTTGCTCTTCAATATATATTTTGAGGCAGGGTTTCCGGGTGTCTTACTGATCAGTTAGTCTTGCCAGCCAGCTTGCTTTAGGAATTCCTTGACTCTACTTCTAGCATGGTGAGAGTGATTACAGGCAGGCTGCCACAGCCACCCTGCTTTTTATGTGGGACCTGGGAATCTGAACTCTGACCACATTTGTGTGGCAAGTGCTTTACCCGCTGAGCCATCTCCCAAGCCCTGCCTGTGCATTTGAGCTAACCCTAACCCTCTCCCCGAGTCTGTAGTAAGACGGGTCCTGGGTCCTCAGCTGCTGGTGCTGTGGCTGAGGCTTTTGGGGAGAACTGAATGGAGGAGGGGCTTTGGATTCACAAGACTTGCAGCTAAGCTGGTTCTTGGTGACTCAGTATCTTGGTCTCTGCCCAGGCACTGAGCAGGTTGTAAGGCCCAGTTTCCACATCAGCCTGAGGTAGCCAGTGTCATGGTGTGTGAACAGAGCTGGGATGGATAGATGCCACTTGACACACTCTGTGTGTCATTTAATGATCGTCCACGTGGCCACAGGCACCCAAGGAACCCTGCTGGAGGCACAAATGGGAAGCAGACTGAAGTAGGATGGAAAATGGAGACAGTTATGGTCATGAGAAGGGAAAAGGGCCCTGCCTCACCCAGGCGTCTGCTTGAAGCCTCCCATCAACTGAGAAGCAAGAATTCTAACACAATACAACTGCTTAGGCCTTTCTCTTTTCTCTGCTTACGCTCTTGCAGAAGACCAGAGTTGGCTCCCAGCACCTATGTCTGGCGGCTCATACCTGTAGCTGGAGTTCCAGGAGATCTGATTCCTTCCTCTGGCAACCATGGGCACTGCATCCACATGCAGACATACACACATGCATATAACATAAAATATATTCATGTCTAAGGCACCTACCCTATGATCTCAATTACAGAAAAGGAACAGAGATAGAGGAAGAGGTATGCCCTAGAAGCCCATTAAGCAATAAAATTCTAAAAGCTTTCTCCAACATCCTACAGACACCATACACTCAACTATGGCTCTTCTCTGAGAAACCCACACATCTGCTCTTGTGTGTGGTTTATTCTTTCCTTGAGTGCCTTTTTGTTTTCTGAGTCAGGGTCTCCTTGTATCCCCAGTTTGCCTGGAACTCACTGTGTAGACCAGCCTTGCCTCCCAAGTGCTAGGATTAAAGGCCTGTACTAGCACGCCAGGCTTTTTTTTTTTTTTTAAATAGTGTCTCATGTATCCCACATTGACCTCAAGGATGACCCTGAGCTCCTGAATCTCCTGCCTCCGAGATGCAAGGATTACAGGCATTCAACATGCCCAGTTTGTGTGGTGCTAGGGATGGAACCCAGGGCTTCATGCATGCTATGCAAACACTCTGTCCAGTGAGCTACAGCCCTAGCCTTCTATTTGTAATAAATTCCAACTTTGCTTCACACCAGCATGTCCTGAAATTCTTTCCTGCATTGAAGCCAAGGATCTGGTTTTACCTGAATCAAGCTCCCTAAAGATTAAGGCACCTCATCAGGCTGCTTGGGGCTATGGTGTGGAACTGTGCCTCTGTCCCTGTCACTGTTGACACGACTGCATGGAAGCTGTACCAGTGGGCACAATCCTGGAGTGCACTAGCTTCTAGTGTGTCACTGTGCAGTTGTGAGCCAGCTGTGGCCCTGCTTATCCAGAGTGTAAAATCATCCTTGGAAGCCATTTAAAGCATACAGACACACAGACACAGACACACACACACACACACAAAAGGGTGGAGAGAGAGTTCAGAGGTTAAGAGCACTGGCTGCTCTTGCAGAGGATCCAGGTTAGGTTTCCAGCACCTGTAACTCCAGTTCTAGGGGATCTGACGCTCCCTTCTGGCCTCCGAGGGCATTGCAGGCTTACACATAAAAATAAATAAATAGAGAA